TATTTGAGTATCTTGATCATGCTGAAATCCAAGATATTAGTGACTACAGAAGATATGAAGAATTCTGCTTGAATTATTTTGGTGTGTGGAGACAATTTAATAATCCACATACTGTCTATCTTGTGCTGAATTCTGATGCTGAATGGCTAAGAAAACTGGACAACAAATATGTTTGCAGTAACGAGAAGCTGGTTTCTATTTCTTCCCATCAATTTGTCTCAGCTGCAAGGAGTTATTGGTGTTCAGAATTACTCTCTGTTGGCCTGCAAGTTTTGGCAAAGCTTGAAAAATTATATGATTTCTCACACAAGTCATCCTTCTACCAAAGCAGGTCTCTTACTCGTATCTACGAGGTAGCATGTTTTCTCTTGAATTCCAAGTTTCTGAACAATCGGTGTCTGGAGCAGGATCTGATGAAATTTGTTCAACTTTCAACAAAGCACTTCTTTGGCTACATATTTCCTCTTGATTGGCGAGAATCACTGAGAGAGAACATGATCTCTCTGAGGGGAACTGAAATCTCAAAGAATTTACTTGAGGAGGTTATATTTGAGATGATAAGGTCAAAGAATAGCTTGTCTTATGGGGAAACTGGAATGGTGGCATTGATAATTCTTGGATCTGATCAGCTAAGCAATGAACTATATGGGAAGATTCTAGGAGGTTTAGAATGGAATACAGAATGGAGGAACTTCATTGGGAGTCTCAAAGGGGATAGAGGTTCTCCTCCAGTGTCTGCAACTGGTCCTATCAATAAATTTATCGGGGGGAATAGAAGGTCAGAATCTACAAGTGGATCTTCTTCTGCTGGTCATATCAAGGAAAGTGGGAATGAGAATCAAATTATTTTCAAGTTCCACGAAGCGTTACAAGATACTTATAAAGCTGACTGGAGGAGCATATCTGATTATATGTCACCAGTTTGTTTCTTGTATCTTGTTGAGCGCTATCTGGTTTTGTTATCCTACTTCAAAGGATACTTTTTCACTACCAAGGCTACTTTTGTGGAATGGCTTATCTACCAGGATGGGATACCCAGCTCAACTTCCAGTTTTGTGGCTGTTAAGCAGCAATCTTTGGAAGACATTCTTAAATTTGTAATTGAAATGGTCCAGCAGTTCCTCTACTGTAAACGAGAGACAATAGAATGGATCAGAAAATCTCATACAAATGTGAAGGAGTACCATTCACTGCTGGTTTTGAGATTGGTTGTCATTATATGTTTGCTTCATTTGAACTTTGGTGGGTGTCTCAATTTACTTTTTGACTTGCTTGGTCAAAAGCATATTACAGAACTACTGCCCTGGGATTTCTGTGATGCTTTTTGGAGAAGGCAGAGATATAACTGTCTCAATTTTGATATAAACGTGCTTGGTCAAGCATTCAAAAATATTGGAAACCCTCTCATAATTGTGAGTATGGGGGAAAACTGTCCAAATTTTGCATGCCAGGATGCTATATTTGTTGATATGAAGGTTTATTCATGCAAGGAGGAAATATTGAGAGTCTTGTTTCCTAAAGATGCTAATTTGTGTGGCGAAGTGCTTCCTCCACCCAGTTACGATGAAGGGCAGAGCTCAAAGGTTGTTCCATCTTTAAGCTCTGGTTCTCTGCCAGATCAAGACTTGAATGCACAGAATCAAAATGATGGTGACATGCTGATTAACCATGTC